GATCTGTGAAACGACCGTTTGCTTAAAATATATGTAACGATAAATTATCTAGTTTCCACTTAAAGTAAGTTTTTCCTATATTCCACACAAAATAATACAGTAACTGCAGTAGTTAGTTGTAATAATGCTCTCGTTTATACTAATATACATAAGTTTTTTTCTGAAGATCGATAATTTGATAGCAACCTTTCATAATGATGAACAACGGCTTTTATAATGAATAACAGAAATGTAGTTAATGTCGTGGCAATAGGTGTCGAAAATCAATCAATATAAGAGCTAGTGAATTAACTATTCAGGGAACCAAAAAGACCAAAAACTAGGTTCATAGTTTCACACATCTCATCCCCATGATTGTTTTGAAAAAAATCAAAAACAAGATGGTTAACTAACTGCGCCAGTAGAACCTTCGGGGTTACTGCCGGTCCAAAGCCCGGATAAAGGAGGAGGGGTTGGACATGGGGTTGGCGCCCCCATCCAACTATGAACTATCTAGCCAAGAAAACGCTAACCAGAAAAAATAAATCAAACCATTTTAAGTCTGCCCTGGGAGTTGGAAGAAGAATTATGATGTCAAGGTTGGCTTGGACAACACTGGATATGAAGACATCATGGGACGACATGGACTAGGAGAAATGACGAAAATGGTGAGAGATTTGCAAACTATGTGCCTTCAACAAACTGGTCATCGTCGGTACAATATTCCCACACAAGCTCATACACAAAGCTACATGGATTTCACCGGACCACACTACTCAGAACCAAATCGACTATATCTGTATCAATAAAAAGTTCAGAAGGACCATGGAGGATGTGAGAACCAAGAGAGGAGCTGATATAGCATCAGATCACCACTTGATGGTCGCTAAAATGAAACTGAAACTAAAGAAGCACTGGACAACGGGGCAGACAACATCACAGAATTTTATTACGGCCTTTCTTCGGGATACTGTAAAGCTCAACGAATTCAGGATAGCCCTCACCAATAGGTTCCAAGCCTTGCAGGATCTACTCAATGGAGAAGAAACAACATTGGAGAACAATTGGAAAGGGATTAAGGAGGCAATCCCTTCAACATGTCAGGAGGTTCTGGGTCACAAGAAACACCATCACGACAAATGGATCTCTGTTGGTACTCTAGAAAAAAACGAAGAAAGGAAGAACAAGAGGGCAGCGATCAATGTCAGCCGAACAAGAGCAGAGAAAGTTACCACACAAGCTGCATACACAGAAGCAAACAGAGAAGTGGAGAAGAGAATCAGAGCCGACAAACGGAATGGAGGATCTAGCGACGACGGCGGAAAAGGCTGCAAGAGGAGGAAACATGAGACAATTGTACGAAACAACAAAGAAGCTCACCGGGAACTATAGTAAACCAGAACGACCAGTGAAAAGCAAGGAAGGCTAAGTAATCAGCAACACTGAAGAACAGCGAAATAAGTGGGTAGAGCACTTTCAAGAACTCCTGAATCGACCAGCTCCACTGAACCCATGCAACATCGAAGCAACACCTACGGACCTCCCAATCGATGTTGGCGGACCTACAATTGAAGAGATCAGCATGGCCATCAGACAAATCAAGAGCGGCAAAGCAGCAGGACCAAACAACATTCCATCAGAGGCAATGAAATCAGATGTAGAAGCAATTGCGAAAATATTTCACAACCTCTTCTAGAAGATTTGGGATGAGGAACAAGTACCATCAGATTGGAAAGAAGGATACCTGATCAAAATACCAAAGAAAGGAGATCTCAGCAAGTGTGAGAACTACAAAGGTATCACTCTTCTTGCAATACCAGGCAAAGTCTTCAACAGGGTATTGTTAAACAGAATGAAGGACTTCGCAGACGTCCAACTTCGAGATCAACAGGCCGGATTTCGTAAGGATCGATCGTGTACTGACCTAATTGCTACATTACGGATCATTGTGAAACAATTAATTTAATGGGACTCACCACTCCACATCAACTTCATCGACTACGAGAAAGCATTCGATAGCGTGGATAGGAAAACACTATGGAGGCTTCTTCGACACTACGGGGTGCCTGAAAAAATAGTCAACATTATACGGAATTCTTATGATGGATTCAACTACAAAATTGTGCATGGAGGTCAGCTGGCAAACTTGTTTGACGTGAAGACCGATGTCAAGCAAGGTTGCTTACTCTCACCCCTTCTCTTTCTCCTGGTGATAGACTGGATTATGAAGACGTCGGCATCTGGAGGGAAGCACGGTATTCAGTGAACAGCTAGGACGCAGCTGGACGATCTGGACTTCTCACATGACCTGGCTCTTCTATCGCACACGCAACAACAAATGCAAGAGAAGATGACCAGTGTAGCAGCAGCATCTGCAGCAGTAGGTCTCAACATACATAAAGGGAAAAGTAAGATTCTACGACACAACATGCGTCAATCAAATCACGCTTGATGGACACGTCCTGGAGGACGTTAACACCTTTACATATCTGGGCAGCATCATCGACGAGAAAGGTGGATCCGATGTATATGTGAGGGTGCGGATCGGCAAAGCAAGGGCTGCATTTCTACAGTTGAAAAATATCTGGAACTTCAAACAAAATGAGGATTTTCAATACAAATGTCAAGACAGTTCTACTGTGTGGAGCGGAAACTTGAAGAACTACAACAGCCATCATCCAGAAGATACAAGTGTTTATTAACAGTTGTCTTCGCAAAATACTTCGGATTCGTTGGCCAGACACGATCAGCAACAACCTACTGTGGGAGAGAACAAACCAGATTCCAGTGGAGAAGGAAATCAGGAAGAAGTAGTGGAAGTGGATAGGACACACTGCGAAAAGCACCCAACTGCGTCACAAGACAATCCCTCACATGGAACCCTCAAGGCAAAAGGAAAAGAGGAAGGCCAATGAACACATTACGCCGAGAAATAGAGAAAGTCATGAGAAAAATGAACAAAAATGGGAAAGAACTAGAAAGGGAAGCCCAAGACAGAGTTGGTTGGAGAAAACAGGTGGGCGGCCTATGCTCCATTGGGGGTAACAGACGTAAGTAAGTAAGTAAGATGGTTAACAAAATATAATTGGATTTATTATGGTATTTAAGGCTATTTATCAGCAACAAGCAGACTAAATTTACAACGAAAAATAAGATTATCAATAAAGAATAGATATTCTTTAGTTGATGAGGTCAGGACGAAAGTTTGAAACGTTTGAAACGAGACAGCCGATAAAAAGGATAAGACGTTAGACATTTGTGAAGATTTACGTGAGAAAAGTAACCTCAAAGTAAAGGTGAGGCCAGCAATACATAGTTAAACAAGAATATGATAAATGCGACTTAGTAGGTGAGATAATGGGACAGTAAAAATATTCATGGGTGAAGTGAAGTGCTAGCTTAGAGGTCAATTACTTAGTTATCGGGTTGCGAGTTTGAACCCAACTCCAGACAATCATATCCAGACAGATGGGTAACGGCAGCTAAGGTTTTGTGCAAAGCGCTCGGAACTACTATGAAGACGGAAGCTTCTATTAAACTACTAACTACAACAGAATTAAGACTGATGACTCATCAATTGGAAGTCATTCTTCAAAGACATGATAATCTGAATCAGTATATATGCCCTTTTGTTGAGATAATCGATTATGATTGAGACGAGCTTCAGTAATACAAGTCATATCGTGACACGAATGAATAATTAATGTTGCAAAATGAAAATAATCAGGAAAGCCATCATACAAGACACTGCCAACTTAAAATACTTAGGTAGTAAATAATTTGAAACGCATAAAGGTATCGCGAGGCTTCATTTCCAACGAGTTTCCGATCGTGGTCACAATCAGTCTATTCCATAAAACTTCCCGTCTACTCCCCCCATTCGAACCAGATAGCTAGTGACAAAACGCTCCTAAACCAGTCTATGGAGGTAGTCAAATTAGCATACACAGGCGTCTGAAATAATATGGTGTATTTATAATGCCGTCTGTAGTTAAGACTGAACAACATGAATTTTCCTGATAAAAACAAAATATTTCTGCGTATAAATGTCAAAAACACAAGATTGCACAGACATAAGACATACAAACAACCTTCAATTTTTTCAGAACAATCAACTTAACAACAATAACGCTCCCTTGACTGGTTGGACAGATTAAAAAGGTATTACAGGGATGTAAGAGGCATGTGTTAATTATAGGCAGTATGTCACAAATCGATAAACTAAGGTGAGTCAGACAGACCAGCTGCACGAGGGTAGAAATTATTTTCTGTACCAGCTTATTAGTCAAATTAAACCAGCTACACCTACGCCCTGTAAAGGGGTAGGTATTAACGAAGAGTAATTTTTGTCACATTGACCACACTATAGTCTATTTCAAAACGACTGCATTGTGATGTTCTGCGTTGAGAATGCATCATTTAAGAGATCAATCAATTATTCAGTTCGTGTATTCCAATAACGAAAACTATATAGTGTTTACTGATTTCAGAATAACAGTAAAGCTACACAGAATAATGAAGGCCGTATTTGTTTGCTGACGACTAAAATTCGATATCTCCTGTCGTTGCTAATTGAATAAATTTTCTTAAAAGTTAATGACCTCATCGTAGACATATTCATAGTCATGATGGAAATGGTAAACGGTAATAAAAGAACCAAGATATGATATGCTGAACGAAAAATCAACATTAAACAGATGGATTATTTCGACTGCAAAAGAGACTGTCAGTCGAGAAAATAGTGATTCACATGTCTATCACACGAAGGCAGGTATAGGGGTACAACTTCCAATATATATATTTATATATATATGTATATATATATATATATATATATATATATATATATATATATATATATATAAACAAAGTACAAGACGATTGGTTATCGAAATATGAACCTTTGAACTAAAATAGACAACCTACTAATGAGACAAAAGAGTAGCAATAGAGACAAACAAACAAATAGGCTATATTACTCAATAACAAAATTAGTGAACGTAAGTATAACAATCACTTACCTTTTCACATGAATTTACTTCACCAGAAGTCTTCTTGGCTTTAGAACCGGGTGGGCGTCCTCTCCTACCGGAACTCAATGGAGGCATTGAAAAATTAGGGGTAAGTGATAAATTAATAGGTTTTCCATTCGTAGTATTAGGAGTTTGTTTAGCCGCTAGAGGGTGGAGCCGTGTAGGCGTTGTATTACGGTCGACCGGTCCTAATCTACCAGTTGCTTTAGAACATGATCCGTTGGAAGTTTGGTAGACACCAGATGGAGTATTAGGTGGTAATAGCTTCTTATTAGACAATAGAGGAGCATGCATACTATTGTTATTCATGTAGGCTTTTTTATGTTCTCCTGTCTCGTCTAATATATAACGTCCATCCGATGTTTTAGCTAGTTTTCCGTGAGTAGCTTCACGATCGAGACAGACACGAAGAGTTGCTCCAGTCAATTCTGGCATTGACTTAGGTGAACCATGTACATCATTTAAAAATTGCAAGGCTCGTTCGACTTGAAAAAGACTATAACCACCATTTGGTCCGGGTTGTGAAAATGGAATTAAATTAGTACATGACTGTGTTGACTGGCTTGACAAATTACTTTCCATAAGACTACGAATAGCATCAACTAGTTTATGACTAACACTAGGTAAGTTAGTATTACCAGTACCAGAAGTAGCTGCAGTTTTACGCCATTTTGATGGATTTCGATAGCTTAAATTACCTTTGTAATCAACACATACAACTGCTCCAGCATCTGCTAGACGTTGGAGGCATAAGTGAGTTTGTTCTGAGTTTATATTCTGATGTCTTTTTAACAGACAGGAAATGCGTTCAAAATCAGGTCGAGCTTTTCTTTCACGCAACTTATCAATAGCATCCAAGATGGCGTCTCGGTGAAAGTCAACCGCCTCTAAGGCTTGTAAGTTTCTAACACAGCCAACTTTTGAGGGGACTGAGACAAGAGGTTTTTCATTTTTTACTGATGTTGTCGAAGCATGATCACCATTGACAGATGGCAAGCAAGAGGCTGCACCTAGATTGGAAGACAAACTGGCAACTGTGGTGATTGGTAAAATAGTAGGATTATTTAAAGGGAATAAAGTCGCTGTATAGATTGGTGTTGTATAGTTGGAGGATGATACGAGAAAAGAATTCGTTGTCTCTGCTATTGAGTTCGATGGTATGGATTGAGGCATTCCCATGGGAATGGGTAAGACATTGACAGAGCTTGTTTGAGCTTGATTACTAAATGCTACAGGGAGTGTAGGTAGTACCATTGGTTGAGAAGACAAGATACTGGATGATATTTGATTATTAGATGGAAATAAAGATACAGGTACTGTAGATGGATTCCCAGATGTAGACACAGACGAAGAAAACGTGGAGAGTGAATTACTATGACCTGGATGAACAAAATGAGACATAGGAGCACCGAACGGCAGTGGCATAGATAGGGATGAAGAGTTGGATGACATGATATTACCGGAAGTAGGTGAGAAAAATGGGAGAATCGGTGCCTGAATTTGTGGTGGACTTGAAAGCGGAACCGTACATGTGAGATTTGCCGGATTTGCAGGAAAATTTGTAGGTGGTAGTAAAAATGATCCGGGGTTTAACGTTTGAGCTGAACCAATATTTGAAGGCATCATATTTGTTGGCATTGACAATATTGTTCCTGGAGAATTCGCTAATGAACATGGAGAGGCAGGAAACATGTTATTAATTGCGACAAATGCAGTCGGGCCTCCAGTTTGTGCAGTTGCTAACATAGCTGGAAACTGTGTCAAATTAGTGGGGCCAAATGACATGCAGTAAGCCAGGAAAGTGAAAAATTAGAGAAAATTCGAAATTTGGTCGATGTATTCAATGTAATAATCCAAATATTGGCTTAGTCGTACAACTGACGAATACAACGCAGTTGAATTAAATAAATGGAAGAGAGACGTATTCGCTCATTCTATGACCTAACGAATGAGCGTCAAGATAGACAGGGTGGTATCAGATCATTTACTAAAATATCTGTATAACAACAATACAAAGTCCGTGGTTGGTGTGTTAATCTTTTTCATTAAATAATTTTAAATATATCATATACACACATTTTAGTAATGACCACACCTATTGAAGGGCGCAAACACATATATACACAATCAACCTTGAATAACAGGCGGGGTGGACTATACAATAGACCAACCAAAATTCACATCGGTATTTCGTGATTGGTTACAATACAATATGCAAGCGACACTCTCTATCATAGCGGATGTCAAAAAGCTGGGGGTTGATTTGACCTTCGTATTTAGTAAGGCCTTCTCATTGATCTACCAGCCGGGGGAGAATAAAAGAATATCTTTAAGGCCTGCATTCCTGACCCATGTTGTCTAGGTCATTTTTAGATTGGTTGTTAAAATACTACACTAGAAACCCATTAAGTTAACATACTCTCCTATTATAAGTCTAATGGGGGGAGGTTGACATAACGCTAAGTATGAATCAATATTCTCTCAGCAAACAAACAATCAAATATTTCGCGTATATTCGCTTTTGGCATTTTATGTGGTTGTAATCAATGTGTATAGAGTGATCAGTTGTGTAGAGTTTTCTGCAGCAATATTAAAATTGATAGACGCGCTGACTGTAAATAGTGGAGACATGAAAAAAATTTAACCTATTTGCGAAAAGCTTAGTTGATGCAGTAAGCCTTCACTCGTTAAACTTAACAAAGCTTTGTATTTAATAGTTTAGTTGTGTATGAATAAAATAGAACAAATAAACCCACATTCACTCGCGCGTTTACACACACACACACTTGAGGTAAGAGAGATAAATTCAGCTTCCCATTCTGACATAAACATAACATACAATCACCCTGTATCATTAAATTATTAGGGGAATGGAATTTTTCGTGACAGTTGGATCTAACAGATTCATTTGTAGAAAAACAAGACATACTGAGCTACAAGTAAGAACGATTGTAGCAGACATTATCTAAAAATCTATTAATCATATTAAGTACTTTTTAAGATTCAGATTAGCGCACTGCTTGAATAGGTGAAGGTTCGAACTCATGAGATGTATGGTTGGAGAAAAATGTTAGACACTTTGTCACTGCTTATGTTCGGTTCTTAATGAAAAGATGTATGTAATGAAAGTCCTCCATCGAAAATTTGTAAACTAACTTAAAGCATCTAAATGATTATGTTACACACATAAAAACTCAGCTCACTGTTTCCCGATCAATAGGGAAATGCAACAAAACATCTCTATGAGATGCTGAATGTTCATTGATAAGAACAAATTAATAAAATCATGAAAATGAACTTTTTAATCTATTTTAAAGATTTTCTATGGGAGTATTTCTAGATTAGATATAAAAAAGCGGCAGAACGCGTTTAGTATTCGAATACTCTTTCTGAATCATAAGTAGGCTACACATGTGTTTCATCTTAGTTTGAAGCAAATAATCAATGAATACTCAATGAATACTCAAAATTAGAAGATAAAAAGGAACACAGTTGATTATAATAATTAAGTATATAATGTGAAAATCAGTATTATCAGCATAGGTTAAAGTTAAGAACAAACTGTTTTTATTAATGGTGAGGGAAATTTCAATTTTCATTTGGTTAAAGCTTCAATAAACTTTATTATATGTTGTTCAAAACTTTAAATACCAGATACTTTAAAAAGTTGATTTCATTTCGACTGGATGATGTGTTTCAATCAAATATTTCATAACAGAGGAAGGTATTTGTTCACCGTACGATTTTTATGTGACCGTTAGAGTTAATCTATTTTTTTAGCTATATGAGTCAGTACATAGTTCTAATCATTTGTATCTTCTCATTGTATTATTATAATAATAACAGTATTTCTAATTGGTCATTATTCTACGACATATTTGTTAGCATACATAGGTATTGAGGTACACATTCTCAAAAAAAAAAAGAATTCACTTAAACTACTACTTCCAGGTAAGTAAGAAGTCATCCTAAGACAACAACATTATTATTAAACTGATACAAAATTGTTAAACATCATTACCTTATATTGTTGAGGGGAGGAGGAGGAGTTTTTATAACCATAGTATGGAACTGTTAGCATAATTGAATTGTGAATTAGAACTATTGTAAATAAGTGGTAAAGACTAGCGCTGAATTGTTCAATATATTCATTGATAACATCAACATGACTATCTTCAACGATTCGCTATAATCATTTGGTGAAGATATAAATTGTTCTCAGTTTTCATAACATACTTCATAATTTGATAATTTTAAGTACATAATCAATTGAAATTATTAAGGTAAATTTCAATAAACTGTGTGTGTGTGTGTGTTACCATCCAGTAAAACAATACATTTCTATTCATTGATTAATGTTACATTAGCATCATTATGATTATTGTTCCCAGAAAATTACATAAGTTCAACGCAATTAAAAACAATCTTATTAGATTTCAATGATAAATTTAAAAGTTGTTATTATTAATGTATAGTTTAAATGATGTTTTATATTATTGTCGTGATATTTTGTTTAATTTATATGACATTATTCTTTTGAACAATACAATCCAATAAGTTTAATCAAATAATTGATTTAAATTTGAATAATTCAAACAATTCAATTACAAAAATGAATTGAATCAATTTTTATTCTTTTTTTTTTTGATTTAGTTATTGAATTTTATTAAAAGTTAACTTACAATCAATTTATGGATTACAAAATATGAATTGTAATTTTTTTTTATATTTAATTGATAATTTTTTCAATAAAATTGATATCATATTGTTATTACTTAAAATTTCAAAAAAAAAAATTATAGAATTCATGTGAGAATATCGATATTTAAGATTATTAATTCTTGGAATTAAATAATATTGGAAAATTAGTACATTTAGTGTAAGTATTATCTTTGTGCAATAGTAGTTGTATTAGAGAGATATAAAAATAATAGTAATAAAAATTTATGAAGCTAATAATTATTCTTCCATGTATGTGTGTGTGTGTGTGTATGTAGTACTCATCATAAATTGATCTCAGCAACATGTACTATTAAAAATAAGGGAACATTAGAAAAGTATGGTGTCTTAAGTATGGAGCTCTTCAATAGTACACACTAATGGACCCAAAAGAGATTGAACTAAAGGCCTTAGAGTTTCACAATGAATGCTTAATCGTTAAACACAATTGGATTGGTATGCATTGATGCATATTTTCAAATGTAGTCAATTCTTTGTATGACATGACCATCATATAACCTTAGTGTTAATGATTACTTGACTCTAGATATATCTAAAGTTCATAAGTCATTAGTTCCTATTAGAAATAACGTAACGTATCTCATATATCATAATTTTAATTGATTGAACTGAAGAGAATTTTAGTGAACGATAAAAATAATCAGTAGCATTGAAAGAAAATAATTGTTGCTTTTTTCTTTCCGAATGATACAACAATAACACCAACACTAATCAATCACAATCATTAAGGTGAGACTACAATTTTCGGATAATAACTTTTGAGAGATAACAAAGTAATCTTGAAGAACTTCAACAAATTATAATGTTTAAAATAGGGTTATGATTTAATTGTAGACAATTACAATTAGTATTTAAAGTGAGAAGTTAATTATTTCATCACGAATTAACATTAACTATGATGCTAAAATGCCATTCAACTATATGTGTATGAACTGCATAATTTTGCGTCAAAATTCAAAAATGCTTTCTGAAATCTTATTGGTTCATTTATAAATTATAGTTTCGTTTAGTAAAAGAAATTGAACAATGAAAATGATGATGAAGAAAAAGACCAGTATTGATAATCAAGGTTGGATAAATAAACCTAGGGAAAAGTATGAATGCGAGAAAGAGGAATACATATAAATTTTGTGAATGAAATGATGACACTGAGAAACATTGACAAGAGACACATTATTCATCATACAAGATAAAAACTATAATCAATATTTTGAGTATTGATTTATTTATTTATCAAAATGTTATTGAGCATAAAAAATATGAACTATTGAGTCCTAAAAACAAAAGTAAACAGTTGATTCATTTCAGTATGAAACACCTTGGCAAGAATTTATCCACTATTAGGAATAGTAATGAATAATGATTTTGTGACATTTCAGATTGACTGAAAATGTGCTTCATTAGATATTAATTTGTTGTTCTAATGACAGAGCGATTCCTGTGCAGTCCTATGTTCATTTTCTAATGTAGTTGTTATGCCTTTATACTGCTGGCACGTCCTGAACTATCGATCTATCCAGTGCTCTCTCATTTATAATAGTTGTTTAATTCAATCAACAGTGTTATCAACCTTCAACATATATTTTATAAAAAATAAGCAGAATTAATCTGTATATGTAAAATTTTTTACTGTCTATTTGGACGTCTGAAGAAATAATATGATCACTAATAATCTGTTGATGATATCGATTTATTCACTTCATTAAAAAGTAGAAATTCATTCAAGACACGCTCGTGACAAATTTCAAGAGAGTTCCCCTAAAGTTCTAATCCAAAGATATGACTTGTAAAAGTCCATCAAGTCTAATGTGATGAATTAACCTGACGATGAGATTAAGAAAAAGAAATATTATAGTTTGAAACAATCAAATTTTAAAAATATGCCGACTGTATGACTGAAAGTAACGTTCACAGGCAGAATTGATGTGCTAGTTCAACTATGCTTGCAGGATCATGGACTTACTACTAAGGAGTAGTTCTTAGTCTATTTTAAGTATCGAATCAATACTCTGAATTTCAATAGTTTGTAGTACCCCTTAAACATTTGAGTTTGTGTTACGTTTAATTTGGTCAAACCCTTTTGTTAACTTATTCAACAAACTGGGTCAATCGTATAGCTAGAGCTTATCTGTACCACTGTGCTTTTATTATTTTCGCGTTTGTGTGCGCAGGATTGGTTGAGCATTGTTTACCGCCCACATACATATTCATTCGACTTGTTTGAATGTTAGCCTCTTAAATAATTCGATGACTCATTCATTTTCCGATGTATATCTATGTATATTTCAATACCACTCACTAGTGAGCTCACCGGCTCGCTCATTCGCTCCTTTGCACTCGCAC